TTTCCTGTGTTTTCTTTGAAGGTGACTCATATGTATGGTGTGAATCAAGTTAGGAATTGAGGTGTTTTGTTTTTTTTTTTTACCGTAATATTAAATTGGCTCAGAACTATTTATTGAGAAGTCCATACTTAAACCTATGCCATTAATCATAGGATTATATAAGTGTGGATCTGTTTCTAGGCCATACTCAAGAAGAAGTTAATTTTTAAACTAAATCACAAGAATTTCCTCAAGAAATGCTACTTTCCTCAAGTAGCACTTATTATATTCTTATTATGAACTATGCATCATTCTAGGCATTTTAGCTGCATTGTTTCATTTTAAACCTCATAACCCACTATGAGATAGTTATTACTATTATCTCCATTTTATAGTTGAGGAAATAAAGACTTACTCAATTAAAAACTTGCCCAAGATCTCCTAGCTAGTAAGTGACAGAGACCTAACTTGATTGTGGATCTGGCTGATTTTGAAGTGGAGTTCTTTATTATCCTGTTTCCCAGAGCAGCATTTTTTTTTCTGGGGGGGCAAGGGTGGTGGGGAATAAGGGTGTGTGTGTGAGAGGAGGGTGATGGAGTGGAGTGGGGACCAACTTCCCTCACCCCCACCACATACCTATCATAGTATTTTGTTGCTTTATTTGAGTTATGTAACATTGGTGTCCAGGTAAATTTTCATATTCATTAAAATAGAACATTCTATAGACTGGGAACCATAGGTTCATGCCATTTACCAGGCACTTCATATATGATAGAATATTTTACTGTTTTTTTTCTATATATTCGTTCTTTCTTACTAGTCAACCTTTGAGAGTAAGGAGTGACTTTTACATATTTGTAACCGTGATGATTATGACAGTTCTCTGTCCAAAGCAGGCCCCTAATAAATATTTGCAGATTTTATAGTTGTTGAGCTGTAATTGCTAACTTGAGATTTCCTGATCAGGTAGGTTGTCTATCCTGTATTAATTGTTTTTAGTTCAGATCATGTGATCTATCCCTAACATATATTTTCTATTTTCTCTCTTTCAATAACTGCTGCCTCAAAGGGAGAAATGCAAATCTTTGGCTGAATGATCTGGTAGCAACAGATCTGAAATTCTTAAAATGTTAGAACCAGAAGCTATTTCTCACACAGTTGATGAGTTAAAAAGAGAGAGAGAAAGAAAGAATTTGGAGCTTCCCTGGTGGCACAGTGGTTGAGAATCTGCCTGCCAATGCCAAGGGACATGGGTTCAAGACCTTGCCCGGGAAGATCCCACATGCCGCGGAGAAATGAAGCCCGTATGCCACGACTACTGATCCTGCGCTCTTGAGCCCGCGAACCACAACTGCTGAGCCCGTGTGCCACAACTACTGAAGCCCGAAGCCACTGCAATGAGAAGTCCGTGCAACGCAAGGAAGAGTAGCCCCTGCTAGCCTCAACTGGAGAAAGCCCGCACGCAGCAACGAAGACTCAATGCAGCCAAAAATAAAAACAAATAAATATGTAAATTTAAAAAGAAAGAATTTGACAGAGAGCCACAGAGAGAAAAGAGGGTCTAGTAGAGAATCAATTATTCCCAGTTTCTAGACCCTCACCAGGCCTGTGGCTCTGAGTTCTGTGCTTCTATTTCTTATGTGCAAAATGGGGCTAATAACACTGCATGCAGCACAGGCTTGTTGTAAGAGGAAAATGAAGCAACAGACAAAATACATTAAGAATGGTAGAAAATGCTATTAAAGGTCACATATTGGTAGAAAGGAAATGAATACCAGGTACAAGTGTGTTTGGTTTTATCAATAATAAATAAAAGAACAGAATAAATATTTTAGATATTTACTAAAAAAGGAACCGCTTGACAAAATAACTCAATATAGTATAACGTTAAATCGTGAGGCTTCCTACTGCTTTAAATATTTTAATAAACGTTTTTATTGAAGTTTAATCTGACTGCATTTTGAAATAATTGAATTTACAATAATTTAACTTACAGATTTTTAAAGATCATATTTACTGCATTGGGTAAAGCAGGTTGTATCTGTAATTTACTGTCAGGGTTAGAAGGAGGGCTTGAACTGGTAGATATTGTTATCTACTGTTTGGTGCAAAAGATGTAAAATGAGTGTTACGTGCTAAGGCTTTCACTAAAATGAGCCTGCTGTGAAAGGCAGTGGCGTGCCAGTTCAATTCAACAGATATTTAATTAACGCTTGTGATTTCCAGAGAACCGTGCTGGGTACCGAGGAGGAAGCAAAGATGAATAGCATCAGCCGGAGGGAGACACGACACGAACCCAGTAACTAGGCTGTAAGGCAGAATGGGGCATCACAATTTAGAAAAGGTAAAACACAGGGAGAACCCGGCAGAGCTTAAAATAATTTAACTTTTCCTGCCTGCATTTTTTTCTTTTCTTTCCTTCTTTCTTTTTCTTTTCTTTCTTTCTTTCTTTTTTTTTTTTAGTAACTATTGTGGATCTCTTTTCACCTGTGCCAAGTCACTTGTCTGCAGAGGATTCGCGACCCTGTGAAATCGCTCCTATTCCCTCTTCAGCCTCTCCTCGCATCTTCGATGAGCTCCTCTGCCACCAGCACTGCATTTGGAATAGCATCTACTGTGTGGGTGGTGAAGCGATGGAAAGCTATTTCTGTTCTAATTATGAGAACTGTTTTATTGGGGGGAGTGGGGCGAGGGAGGAGAGGCAGATCGGAGACTGAGACGCTCAGCGAGGTTGCTCCGAGGAGGCGTTTCTAAGGTTACTAGAAAGAGGACGGCAAGTGATATTCAGGCAGGGTTTTTTCTAAAACGAAATAAAATTTCAAAAGAGGGGCGTGGGCTTAGTATGAGCTGTGCCACACGAGATTAGATGTTGGGCTTCCCAGAGGGTAATGTAAGAAGGCCCAGGAAAAAACCGAGCGCGGCGACTTCGGTAAAGCTGGGAGCCTCCACCTTCCTTTCCGGCCCTGTTCTCCCGCGGCCTTTGTTTCCCGGGGCTGTTTTGGCTGTAACACAAAGTCGGCGCGCCCGGGAACGGTGTCATTTAAGTGAGACGCGCGGCCGAGCCGGACCGGAAGCAGCGCCCAGCTGGGACCCGTAGGGAGAGGTGGGGAGCGGGAGGCGGCGGCGGCCGTTGTGGCCCTGGCAGTGGTGGCGACTGTGGTGAGGCTACGCAGCCGGGGCGACGGGTCTGGTGCCGCAGCAGCTCGCTCAGGCCGTGGGTCGTCGCTGCAGACGCGGGCAGAGGAGGGAACAACGACTCAGCGGGAGCACTTGGCAGAGGAGGGGAAGGGGTGTGTGAGAAGGGCCATGAGTGTTTGGGGTCGGGGAGAAAGATCTCGAAACTTGTTTCTCATATGCTACTAGTTGATTTTTTTTTTTTTTTTTTTTTTTTTTGATGACAGATTCAGAAGACACCCCGCGTCTCCCTTCTCGAGTTTCTCTTGGTTCTTGTCAGTTGATTCATAGCCTGAAGTGAGTGAGAACTTTTTAATGCAACTACTGAATTCAGATGGGTATGGGATGGATGAGAAAAAAACGAGACGGGGGGAACAAGGGTAGGAGGTGGTGTCCCAGGGTGTAGGAACATCATGACGGTAATAGTAGTTAAAATTAGGAGAGTTGTACTGTACCAGACGTTGTTCTAAAACCCTTTATATGCGGTAACTCATTTGATGCCCAGTTCTGTGAGACCGGTACTTTCTTTCATTAGCCTCCCTTTATGGAGGGGGAAACAGGCTCCTAGAGGTTAAGGAGCATGCCCAAAGAAAGACATGAAACGTGCAGAGCCAGGGTTTGCATTCTGTCAGGCTGACCCCAGAACTTATCTCTAAGCTCCCCACAGTGGTTATCCCCCATCAGGATGTGAAGAAAGTGAGGACATAAGACAAGGAGTGAGAGGCTGGTATGGTTTGAACAGATGTGATAAAACAGTGGAAGCAAGGAGTTGACATGATAAAAAGGTGTGCGATCCAGGTGTGACTTAGTGAGGGTAGAGTTGAAAGTGGCCTAAACCTTCATCTCAACCTTGGCTAGGGCCCACCTCTCTCGAATTCTGTGGGGCAGGGAAGAGAGATATGCACCCGTACACGTAACTTTGAAAATGGAATTATGAAGATCACAGACTCATAGGATTTAAAGATTATTTGATGTAGCCACCTTATTTAGCAGATACAGTCAAATAATCCATCCGCCATTAATGTATATATACCAAATTCTATGTAATGCTGAAACCAGGAGCTGCTTTCTAACACAACTAAGTGACAATTGAGATCTTTCAGTATTTCTAAGAATTTTGATTTAAAAATGAATAGAAACAAGATAAAGTTATCTAGAACAAAGGACAAGGTGGTTTATCTTGAAGAAACTGTTTCAAAGAAAAAGGAAATCTTGAAAGAAGATAGGAAAATTTTTATCAGTTGATCGTGTACTGTTCACAAATCCATTAAGTCTAATGGAATACAGTAATCAAAATGTTAGCATATTCCAGAGAGTCAGTTTGTAGTAGTTGAGATCATGGGCTTAAGAATCAAGTAGATCTGCTTAGCCACATATTTGCTCTGTATAATTGATTTACTTAACTTTGTCCTTGATTTCTTCATCTCTAAAATGGAGGTAATAGTTCCTAACTTGCAGAATTAGAAGCAGTGTTTGTAAAGAACCTAGCATAATGTCTGGAACAAAGTTGATAAATACCAGCAACCGTTATTACTCTGAATCAAATAAAAGTAAAGCATTGCTGAACCTTGTATGCAGTGACATGGCAGCTTCTAGACCTGGTTTTACATGGAAAGGTCAAAGAGTAATCTCCCTTGTTGATAATTAAAGTGAAAAACATTGATTCATTTTCTGAAGGGTAAGTTTGTTACTTCAAAGTGATTGAAAGTTTTAGGTGGCTAGATAACCCCTGATATGCCCACCACAATCCTTTAAAACTGTTGTTTATAAGATAACTTATTTTTGAACTATTCTGTTTCCTGAAGTATGGGCAATTTAGGTTCTAAGTAACTGCCTATACTTTACAGATGCATGGTCATGGAGGCTATGACTCTGATTTTAGTGATGATGAACACTGTGGAGAATCTAGCAAAAGGAAAAAAAAGTAAGTTTTTATTGATCTCTGTTTCTGATCCTTTCTAAATTGAGATGAGGTATAAATAATATTTAAAGTTTTTGGATTGTGTTTACATGTGAAGACAACGATGCTCTACTGAATGAATTTTTGTTTATTAAACTATAATGAACTGACTCAAAAATTTGAGAACAGTTATGTAAAAGATAAGAAAGTAATGTTTATGCTGTGAAGGGATTTATGGAAAGGGAAGCATAAGGATAAAAAGGAAATCAGTTAAAGCTCTTAGATTTCTCTGTTGCATCTATTTTTCATTCAACTGTCAAGGACTCTACTTGCAACTGTCATAGCTAAGAAGGGGCTTGGTTGGTTGTCCCTTTGCTAGTACTTGACTGCAAAATGAGGTTACTGTGGAGGATGAGATTGTGTGTGATGCAGCACAATTCTTAGGATTTTGTGAATGAGTAGACTAAGTGGCCAGAGGAAGGAGTTCATGGAAGTCTTTATTGAATGGAAGAGGTAAGAACTCTTAGCAAATAAAGCCTGAACCTTACAAGGAGGCCATATCTTGGTGGAGTGGCTGTGTTTAGGGAGGGGCATTGTTTTCAGCCTTGAGTGCTTAGAAACTTGATTTTATCCATTAACTTAGGAGTGGTTGACTGATTCATATTAACCAAACTTATAAAAATTGCTTTATTATTTGACACCGAAAACAATATATAAGCATACTAATTGGGACTGAACATTTTTGTTGGGTACTCAGTCTTCATGGTTAACCAAAAGAATAGAAATAATTATATAATAAATTACATTTTTATGTAATGAAATGAAATTAAAATGCTTTACATTTTCAAGGTTTTTCATTCAAAAATATTACTTTGTAAGAATAGAATTTGAGCCAGTCTAGTTGGATAGTCTTGTGTGCTCTAGGATTATATCTATTTAAGTAACTGGGGCTGATCACCTATAGTCTATATCTATAATTAGCCCTTCTTTTTCCATGTTTTCAGTTACTGAAAGCTTTGTTATCTCCACTTTACACACAAGGAAATTGTGGCACAAAAAGATTAAGTAATTTAAGATTAAGATAATGAATGAGGGGCTTCCCTGGTGGCGCAGTGGTTGAGAATCTGCCTGCCAATGCAGGGGACACGGGTTCGAGCCCTGGTCTGGGAAGATCCCACATGCCGCGGAGCAACTAGCCCCGTGAGCCACAATTACTGAGCCTGCGCGTCTGGAGCCTGTGCTCTGCAACAGAGAAGCCGCGATAGTGAGAGGCCCGCGCACCGCAATGAAGAGTGGCCCCCGCTCGCCGCAACTAGAGAAAGCCCTCGCACAGAAACGAAGAGCCAACACAGCTATAAATAAATAAATAAATAAATAAATAAATTACTTTAAAAAAAAAAAAGATAATGAATGACAGAGCCAAAATTTGAACCAAGGACCCCAGGTGGTGTGACACCAGAACCCATGCATTTGTTAGTCTCGTCTTCTCCATTTTATAGGTATTAAAGTCAAGATATTAATTAAGCTATTAAAGGAGATGTAAAGTATCTCATTGAAGATCAGTGAGTCTTTAAGAGTTGAATTCTTTAAAACATGTCCCAATTATGAAAATAATAAAGAAATAGGAAACACTCTGAGAAAAATGAACTCTTCTGATAATTTTTCTTCTTAACAAACCAGGACAGTTGAAGATGATTTACTGCTCAAAAAGCCATTTCAGAAAGAAAAACATGGAAAGGTGGTCCATAAACAAGTTGCAGCAGAATTGCTGGATAGGTATGGTACTTCAATGTACATTACTTTTTTTTGGTTTGAGATGTTGGTGATTTGATTATATTAATTAAATATAGACATTTGAATGTGCTTGAAATAAAATTTTTCTTAACAGGGAAGAAGCAAGAAATAGAAGGTTTCATCTCATAGCTATGGATGCTGTATCCTTTTATATTTCTAGATTTTGTGACTAATACAATTTTTTAAATATTTTATTTCATAAAATCTTTTGAAGTCAGATAGACATAAATTTTATATTTAAAGATAAGTGTTTATTGATATGGAATTTTGCCATACATACTTCTGAGTACAATTCTCTTTTACCAATATATAAGAAAGATTTAGAGGCAAAAAATAATAAAAAACATATTACTAATCTTCTATAAATAGGTTTACAAAGTCCATGTACTTGCAGATATTTCTTCCAATCCATTTTTGTCAAGCTGTCAATATTTCTCATTTTTATGCTATTATCTTCAGTCTCATTTTAACTCTTACTCTTTTCCTACATGGTCCTTGGCTATTTAATGTCTTCGTAAAACTGTGTTTAATAATAGGTCTGTTTGATCATTAGAGAAATGCAAATCAAAACCACAATGAGGGGCTTCCCTGGTGGCGCAGTGGTTGAGAGTCCGCCTGCCGATGCAGGGGACACGGGTTCGTGCCCCGGTCCGGGAAGATCCCACATGCCGCGG